AACCAGATAGACTCTCTTGGCCCACTTCTACCTTGAATGCTTTTTTGATAGTGTCTATGGCCCCCTGTCCTTGATTCATGAGCTGACCTAAACTTCGCTTACCACCTATGGCCAAAAACCATTGGATATTCTTTTCCACTTTGTCCTCTCTCCACATCTCTGTTTTTAGGAGGTCGGTTTATACTTTGTCTTTATGCTGTGTGTGCCCGTGGCACGCAGCTGCATGCATATATGTTTCTTCTCCTACAGCATAGCACTAGCAGTAGCGTTTTGCTCTGGTCAGGATGTGTGAAAGGCATGATGAATTCCCTAAATACCCAGTTCCTCAGTGCCTGATGCTGCATTGCCTTCGCCAGGTGACAAGGAGATCTACCCTGTCAGGCTGCAGCCGTGAAGCTGTGCCATGTACCGAGGCTGCCTGGGATGCCCAGCACAGCATGGCAGCCTGTCCCCACAGTCTCACTGGCCAGTATTCAGTCACTGGGTCACAACCTCACTGCCTCTGACACCTGAGATCGCAGAGCGGATGAAGGCACTGCCAGTGCACTGCATATGAGTGGGTTATAACCTAAATGAAAGGAACTGAGGCAGGAGGTAGCAGTGCAGTTCATATTCAGGGCAGGAGACTTGGTGCATATGCATGTGAGACTGCAAATAGCTCCCTGAGTTGTGCTCTTATGTCACATTCAGTTTCAAGCAACCTTTCTCTAGTCTCTTTGGGACTAGTTTGTTTTCAAGGCACCTAATGGCAATACTTGGGGTTATTGGGTACTTCCCTTGCATGCCTGTTCAGCTGGGAATCTTGCTGGGAAAGTCTTCAATCACATTGCAGTCCCTGGGATGAGAGCAAGTTGAAGAAATTGAGCCAGAATAGAAGAGGGGAAACAAGACCATCAAGGAGAGGGTTAAAACATTATGGCATGCAGAAGAATCTGTGGTCAGTGGAGGTAATGAAGAACAAAACCCTGCCTCATGCCTGCCAGTTTTACTTCTTACTCCGTCCCTACAACAAGAGAGGAGGAGGACCGTCTCAGATCAGAAGGAAATGCTTCCCATGCGAAGCAGCCTATGGATGTGCTGCTTCCTGAGGCTGTTGAGTGAACTCATTTAGCATGATTACAAAACGGCTGGATAACATATGGGCACTAATGGCATTTGCAGCTATGTAAGCAGCAGTTACAAGAGCAGAGTAATCAAATCTGGTCCTTCAGAGGGAAAGCTGATCACCTGAGAGGGCCTGGGATTTCCCCCTTGCACAATTGGGCCAGGTACCTTCATGGACTAATTGAAATATCAGGTGCTGTCTGGGGCCAGGGGCAGCACAGCAGCCTGATGGGTCTAATCTCCAAGCAGATAGAGCAGCTCCGCTCACGTTCCTGAGGCCTGATAGTTCCCTGGGTACTATCATCTCTGGCTGTGGGTTTCTGGTTCTTATGTATTTTTTTTCTTTCTTGAGCTGAGCTTTGGGTACGTGGCTCTACGGAGTAATAGCTGTTGGATGAAATCCCTCCGCATCATGATTTGCTGTTCCTGTAACTTCCTTAGCTGATTTTTAACCAAGAATTTCTCCCAAGTGGTAAAAAGCATAGCTCAGAAGAGATGGAGATAAACCCTTGGGCTCTGACCAGCCCTCAGGCAAGAAACAGCTTTATCTTACTTCCTCTTGTACCCCTTAATTTCTAACCAGATAGCAGGCTACCAATGTTTTCCAGTGGCATTATACCAAATAAATACCTCTCTTTTTGTATTCCTGCTTAGCTGAGTTCTTAACAGTTGGGTGGCAGTCAGCAATTAGGTTATGAGCTGTAGCTTCTTTGCAGGAAAGAAAGGTTCAGTGGGCAGCTACTATCATTAGTAGTGAAAAGCTGGCTTTGCTCTTGCAATGGAGACTCGAGTAACCTCTGCAGCTGTACACCAGGTCGTCCCCTGGCCCACGTCTGGTTTCTGGTTGCAGCAGCTGGTCTGCAACCTAAGGAGTGGTCCGGGCAGTTTTCTTGAAGTCTCCGCTGACTCCATACCTCTCGCCTGGCACTACTGCTTTGTCCTCATGTGCACCTGAAATAGCTGTGCAGGCGACAGAGAGGGCTGTGCTGCAACTGGGAGCTCCAGAGCACTGAGGCTGGCTGTTTACCTGTGGGTAATTAGTGAGCTAGTTTCCCAGCTCAGGAAGGTCTCACTGCTGTGCCCAACACACACTTGTAATCTTTGACCTCAGACTTATCCTGGATGGTTCCTCTTCCTCTGCTTTTTTCCACAGTGGCTGTGCTGTTCTGCCCCTTCCTAGCATCTCTCATCACATCTCCTCACTCATCAGGCCTCTCGCAGCACAAAACCATACAAATCCCCCTATCCGTCGTGCTGTGGCACAAGCCGCGCATCACCGGCAAGTCTGACGTTACACCGCACACGCTGTCATCTCAGGCCACGGAAAGGGCAGACGCCACTTTCCTCCGGCCACGTCTGCCCCCTGCTCCGTGGGTCAGTTGTGGTGCTCACATGGCTACTGGGCAGCTCGGTTTGGCGAGCTAGTCCAGCAGGAAACCATGTGTACCTCTTTCCTCCTGAACCTCCTCTCCAAACCAATCACCCATGGCCCGGGGGAGGCGGGGCCTGCTGCCGCAGAGGGTGAGCGCAGCAGCATGCATGTGGTGCTTGATGGTGAAAAAGCAGCTTTGGAGAGCAACAGCACGCTTCGGGGAGCGAGAGGGGATCGGTGCTAAGAGCAGAGAAACGACAAGGTGTCTGTATGTGTGCCCTGCAGGCTCAGGGTTGCAAATGCCGGCTTCACGTCTTCAGCTGCTTTTCTGGCCAGGAGCGATGGTCTTTCTATGCCTGTGTTTTTATACCTTTATGGTTTTTTGCCTTTTCCCATCCTAGCCGAAACCAGTTTGGTAGAGAGGCTGGAGCAAAACTGTAATAGTTCTGGTGTTCCCGCTTAAGGATACCTAAGCATTTGCTGAGGTATTTTAGTGCCTACCTCCTGTTTTTTCCATGTAGGTTCTTGTTGACTTGAAATAGCCATCAAGAAAATGTTTTCAATGGCCTGGCTACAGCAGAGCACTCGTGAATAGCTCGGAGACGGTTCAAACCTGTCATAGACTGCCTCACTCTGATGCTCTTGAGCAGTGGACCTACTACAGGGCTCTGCTCTCTGGCTTCCGTGTGGTAGGGTACCTCTAAGCTGAAGCCTTGATCTTGTGGTCTGCTGCAGAGAAAACCCTCACTACCCCCCCAGCTAGCAGTTGGCCTTGCACATCTGGCTGCAGGATGCTGGAGGAGCTCGGTCCCTTCTCCTGCTTTCCATAGCTCCCTCCCTCCTCCTACCATGCAGCATGTGAGGAAAGCCCATTTCTTCTCCAGGGGTGCCCTATGGAAATCCCCAGGGAAAAGCCAGTCTTTCAGAGAGGAACTGGAACACCAAGAATGTCTCCCAAGGGCAGTGTTCACCCTGTTATTTTCTGAAATTCTTTTCCTACCACGTCAAGGAGTTAACCTGCCAAAGAAGTACAACTTCACAAGCACAGAAGTTGCTACCTCCAGATTAACTTCTAGCTGCTTTGTCTCTTCCTTGCTTGGCTGATAAAAGCGTTAGGTAAATATTTGTACAATACAGACAATTACACCCCTTTCTTCTCTTTTCCAAGGGTCAGCAAAATGTCAGCAATTGGTATTTGCATCCAGCCAGGCTTCTGTATTTGCTTTGTGGCAGGCTCCATGCCAGTTGTGCTTAGGAACTTAAAAACAGACAAGCCCAGGAATCACCACGGTGGACCAGACCAGCAGTCTGTGTTGGCCAACACCCTTTTGCAGTAGAGGCTAATTCCTGGAATTTCATTACCAGCTTGTTCCAAAGGCCAGTGAAGTTCTGAGTTTAAGAACAAAAACAAATAATCTCTCCCCTCTGCACAACAATTACTTTTCTTGGAGTCCTTTTCCCTAAGTGAATCTCAGGGAAGGAACTGACAGTTGAAGTAACATCATCTGCATGGATACAGTCCCATAAGTTATTTTTTTTTTATTCCTGTTTTACTTGCTTCCTCTCTAATGTAGCCAGTCCCCCTCTTCTTGCTGTCTCCTCTGCAGAAAAGTTTGCTCCCTTCTCCCACTGGTAAGATGAGCCCTCAAAGTCGTGAGCACTGAATTTCACATTGACCAAAAAGACTATTCCAGCCCCATTGCGAAGCAGGCTGTATGTCCAGCTGCAGGATGTGCAGAAACGGTAGTCCATGCCTCATCATCCTGAATGAGGTGGAAACTCGCTGATTACATGTTATTTTCTATGAAGGTACAGGAATTTCTTCTTCTTTCCCATGACGGTCAGTTAATCCCTGAAGCATGAGACTCGCTTAGGCTGCATTAATCAGTAGATTACTCACCTAGAGTGAGTAAAAAAATCTTCTGCACAAGTTCAATATTGGTGTTGATATTTTTATTCATAGACTAAGCCCATAGCTTCAGATCAGAGTGTGGGGGTGGGATGACCTAGATCAGAATTTTATGGCTAAACAGCGTCTAACAGGGTCTAAATCAAAACCATGCATCTAAACAACCACTAGCCTCAGGGGAGCAAGACACCCTAGTTGCCTCTGACTCTTGTCTGCGACTCTTCATTTTCATGTTTTGTACATTTCTTGCGCTTTTTCTTTTTACTGTCCCCTTCTTGCCCACATCCAAGGGGGCAGGACCAACATCTTCACTTTCCGCTCGCCTCTGTCAGGCACTCGTCACAGTCCGCAGCACCTAGATTAGGGAGCGAGCGGAGACAGTGTCACAACCCTGCCTGTAGGCTCAGCACAGCTGGAGAGGGGAATCTCTCAAGGGGCCATTTGTGGCTTCTCATTCTAAGGTTGTTTTGGGTTTGCCTTGGCCTTGGCATAACTCAGAGATGCTTTGCAGGTGATCTGAATCATGTAGCTTGAAAAGGCAGTTGGTAGAGCATGCTCCTAGTTTAGCCATAATGCCTTTCCTGGGCTGCAGGGTGGGGATGGGGCAGGGTAAAGATGGGTATGCCGTCTCTGAAAGAGTGGAAGTTTCCTCAGCAGTGGCCTCTGCTGCTTGTTCAGAGCCTGTCCCTGTTACTTTTTGCCAAAAGAGCGGTGCAGAGGGCTCTGAGCTGCTGTCTCAGGATTCAGACGTGCCAATGCCTGTGTGAAGAGGGAAGCTGGTGGGATGTTTCCCTTTATATACTGAGGCAACAAACTCCTGCGGGCAAAACAAACAGAGTTTTGGGGATGAAAAACTTTCCCACAGGCTTGCCATCATGCCTGGCACCTAAATTTGCACTTTTAAAGAAAACGTGCAAAGAGCTCAACTTCACTCCCTGGTACACAGATATTTAGCAGGCCCACCACCAGCCTGGGAGAAGCGAGCGCTGGAGGAGGTTTTGGTACCTGCGCTCTTCACAGTTAAGCCATCATGTGATGTGGGCACAGCACTGAGCTGCTGTCTGGTTGGGTAGTTGCTGACTCACTGCCAACTTGTTTAGCCAACCTGAAAACAACATTATTTACTAGGCTCTGTCTCGCTAGTGATGTATATACAGTGTTACTGAGCGCTGCAAGGTTATATTGTGTCTGCTTGTCTTCCTCCCTCATAAACCCAAGCTGACCAGGGGAGCTGCAGCAGGAAACTCAGAATGGCTCCTGGGCAGAGCAGACTGGGTAGGGAGAGAGTGGAAAATGAAGTGGCATTTGAACCTGGAAGCTGCATTCATTTAAATACTGATGTCCTTAACTTCCTCACTGCTGACAGTTTAGCCATTATAGCTCAGTGTCCCATCAGGTGCTGTCTTTGCAGTCATTCAGTATTTCCTTCACGAGAGGAATACTGAAAGCTTCTATTTTGCAAATAGGTGCACATTCAGAATAATATTCTTTTGATGGTTAGACAAATTAGGAATCCGGCTATTGTCTTATGCTGTTTTCCTCCATATTATTAGTTTAAAAGTTGGTCGTCTTTGGTCTGACCAGTAGCATCTCTGAAATATGTTTTATAACTATGATGGATCTTTAATATAACAAATTAATAAGAGCAAGGGAAGATTTCTTGAGGAGGGTAAAGGCAGTTTCTTTTTCTCTGTCTGTGTCAGTCTACCCACTGCAAATAAAGTAAACAGCTCCTGGTCTGTGCTGGGCAATGCCTGAGCATTAGAGGTCTCTTAGCTTCTCCCAGGACCAGATTATTCTGGTAACTGCTGCAGCTTCTTTTTTTAGCATGTACTCTGACATCTCTTTCTGTTTCCTCTGTGCAGGATATGAGAGCTGGAGAGAATTGGCTAAGGCTCTGGCAGACAGGAATGTCCCAGTTGGGGACCCAAGCCTCCAGTTTTACTATCCTCAGAAGCTGGGACACCAGGTGAGGAGACTTGGGATGTCTTCTGAACGTTTGAAAGGGAAAACCTCCCTTTCTGATGTCGGGCTCCAAGAGACAGCTCTCTCTTCTCACAAAAAGAGAGCATGCCACAGCACAAATTCCGAGCTGAGTCACAGCGTTATGAATGTACAATGCCCCCACTGTAGTCAATGAAGTTGTGTTAGGCGTAATCAGCCATAGCGGTGGTCTGAAGCTGGCTGGGTGTGTGGCACAGGAAGGTAGCACTAAGCAAGACAGAGGCTGAAATAAAAGGTCGGGAGAAAGTTTGTAGCCTTCTAGTGAAGTACGTCTCAGTGCCGTTACCTGAAGGAAGCGTTAGAAGAACTGTTGCTTGGACCTTTTAAAACAAGGATGGGCAAAAAATCACAGAATGATCTAATTTTTGGCTCTGTGCTGGCAAACTGTTATAAAGTGCTGGTGTCCTTTCCTCTTGGCGTATCATCAGCGAAATTTGCTGACACAAAGGCAGGAAGCGTTTCCACCCCACTATGTCTGCGATGGCCAGCCGCTCCTCTGAAAAGGATCTGGGAACTTGCTGTTTTCTCACTTGTTCTTTGAGCCCTCTTATGTAGTGTCATTGCCCAGTCAGTTAATCAGGTTACTTTGACTTTCCTTTACTTGTGTTTCAGAACCAAGAGCAGCAAAGAGGTGGGAAGAATAAATCAAATTATGCAGCTGTGGACAACCCTGTACCGTGGATACCAGAGGTTGGTACCTTTCTAGAGCATTTCATATGAGGAGGTTGTAGTTAGAGACCTACGTGGAGGTGAGAGTAGAAGGGAGTGACCTCTGCCTGGAAATTCATTTGCTTCCCTAGAAGTCCATTCCTTATCACCCCCTCCTGGTTCAATGACACTTACAGACCCAAGTAATCACTTGGGAAGGAAGGAATGTCCAGATTCCTGATAATTTGGTTTCTCCTCTAGCCATCAAGGCACCAAGCATCCACTCACAGTTTGCAGAGAGCAGCCAGGCCACTAACCCCTGAAGGTAAAGTTTATTCAGGGCTGGGAATGTGTAGGACCAAGAGCTCAACAAGCAAATACATGACTGTGGGATGTAAGTGTCATCCTATGCTACTGCTCTGGCATTTGCTTGTTATCCAACCCCTGTACATTTTACGCAGAAGTTTCTTCACCTCAGTGACGCTTCTGATGAGCAGCGACCTTCTCTGGTGACCCTTGAAAACTGGGGCAAATATTCTTTTTGTTTCCTTCATGCCTCATTCATTCTTTCCTCCACTGTCCCCTTATCTCACTATTCCTCTTCAGATAAGGGAGCAAAGCAGCTTGCTGATAATGAGAGGAACACCAGCCAGGGGGCACTAGGCTAATGGGGTCAGCTCACTAAATTCCTCAAGGTGATTAGGGACTGGCACAAATGAGAACGATGTCTTCTCTTCGGCTCCTCTAGTGAGGGAGCAGGCTGTAGTCCCGGCGCTCAGGATATGAGATGGTCACTGGCTGGCATATGGAAAGCATCTCCCTCCAGCCATTGCATTGAGCAGGTCTGGTCCCCTTTGTGCAAGCTAAAGGTTTTCTGGAAGCAGCCAGCACCGGTAACTGTCCAGTGCACAAAACTATACTGAGTGGACCATTAATCTGTTCTGCTGCATCAACTGTCAGGACTGCTGGTCCCAGCTGGAGCCTGGTGGCCTCCTCCAGCTGCAGGGCCTCGCAGGCAGCGTGCAGGCAGGGCTGCTTCTCAGATGAGCAGCTGCTGGCCAGGAGCCAGCAGGATGTCACGGTCAAGACTGTTGCTGTGTGCAGGGATGACATGGTGTGTTTGCTGCTCTTCTCTCCCACGGCACTGGGTATTTTGGGCTCCCTGTGGCATCACCCTGGCTTGTCTAAGGCTTTTCCCATTGTCTCTGAACCACCCTGCTGATTTCTAAAAAGCATATTAATCTGGAAATCTGCCAGCGCTTGTCTGTCAAGAGCCTTTACCTGAGTTAGAAATAGAACTGGTGGGATATACTCTGTGGCTTGGGAGAAGCTGTGTATGTAGCACAGGGCCGATCTGCCAAGCCCTCCGCTCTGGTGGTAGGGTGGATTCATGCCGCTGTGTGCTGCAGAGCCAGGCAGGCCACAGAGTAAGCGTGCAAACGTACTGTGGTGGTATGGCGCTGCCAAGAAGGAGGCAGAGATGCACACTGCGCTGAGCAAAGAGGAGGAAGCAGAACTGGGGGTGGGATGTGCAGCTGGCCCTGAGCATGGGCCCATGCCTGGACAGGTGATGTGTGCCTCGTGCCTTGTCCTGCACTGCTCCCTGTAGGGGAGGAGAGCTCTGCCAGGTAGCAGGACTTTTCCATCAGATCACAGTTCCTGTGAAGCTCCTTCACTGGTTTTCTCCTTGTCTCTATAAGGCAAAATAGAGTGCCCTTGGTGAGGCGCTGTGTCTGTATGCAGAGGGTCAGCAGAGTGACCCTGAGCGTGAACAGAGGCCAATTGTTCACCTGGTAGTGGGTGTATGAGGGCCACGGAGGAGGTGGAGAGGGATCCAGGGGCACAGCTTTGTGTGGCGCTCCTTGCTGTCCTCTTAACCACCTGATGAAGTTTCTTCTGGCCTGGGGATTAAGTTTTTTCTGTAACTCTGCCCAAATAAATTGCCCAGGATCTATGGTTCCATTGTGTCCTTCCTGCAGCATCTCTAAGAATTTAATTGCAGCCTGATTCCTGTCATCACGGGAGGCAGTTTGTCTCCCACAGGCCATGAAAATGGGCTTTGTTTGAACAACGAGGTATATTCCTGACAAACATGAATAATTAACAGAGTTGCAGGGTGAGCCTGCAGCTAGCGTGGCCAAAGGAGGAGAGGTTTCAATTTTCCTCTTTCAGTTTCAGGAGGTGAAATTGGTGGTATAAATCTTCCACCTCTGAAGATGCTGTGGGGAAGTGCGCATGTGGGAAATCCCTAAAAATCCCAAACCCTGCATTTGGGGGAAAGCAGGATTCAGCCTCATTCCTGGGTCCTTCAAGGTGTGAATGTGCCTGATTCCTACCCTCACCAGCCCTTCCAGGCAGCAGGGCAAAGCCTTCCATCTCACACAGTCACCCTCTGAGTCCTCAGACTGGAGAGATGTCAGGCGTTTTGTTTCATTAATTCAGGAAGGTGCTTGGCTATCACCAGGGGAAGCCATTACTGTGGGACAGTGACTCTCATTGTGTTGCGCCCTAGAGGGATAGGGGGAATTTTCAGAAATGCTCCAGGTCGGCCTGATCATTCTCTTTTACCTCTGCAAAAGCCTCTGTTCAACTCAAAGGAGAGAAAGGTTAGGGCAGCACTAGGCACATTTAACAACTCCACCCTTCATATGCTCAGTCTCAGGACTGTCCTCACGCTGGAAGGAAGATTGAAGGAAGTCCTCCTGGTCTCTACTCTCCTGAGATAAGACTGGGATGTGGCCAGCCCTAACTCCAGGAGTGCATCCCCTTGCAAGCAGCGCCTGAATAGGTGCTGTGCTAAACCAGACTGTTGACCCTGGACATCATCCTCACCCCAAACAAATCCCAAACCTTCCCTAAAAGGGAACGTCCTTTCCTTACCAGGCTGAAAGATAAAGCTATTTCTGCTCCTTGTTTCCCTGTCCAGGTCCCTTCCTCACCCGCTCGCCCCCATCAGGTGTCCTGGCTCTAAGGGACAGGAGATCTTTGTTGCTAACTTGTCTTGATGGATTCCCACAAGTGCCCAGCACAGGAGACGCTGGAGCAAAGTCCAGCTGCTCACTGCTGAATGCCACCCAGTCGGGGAGCTGACGGAGGCAAGAGGAGGGGCCGTGACTGCTGTGCGGAGACAGAAGAGTCTTATAAACTCGGCTTAAGGAGTTTCCAGTTCGCAGCACAATGTTGCCATTCTTCCCTGGCTCAGACCCCTCTGTGACGAGTTTATCTTCCTCAGCGCTGCCCATTCTTCGGGTTGTGCGCAGCTGATTTGCCTCTGAGATGCCAAGGCCATCCGAAATTAAATTAGGAAAGACCTCTCTACTCCATCCTGCTCTGGTTACAATCCAGCAGGTCATGTCACCCTCCCACTGCGCTGCTTGCCATGGCACGAGCCTCAGGTGCTGCTTCGTCTTTCTTCCTTGGGGCTCTTTGAGCCAGAGGAACCGTTTGGTTTGTGGTGTCACCCTAAAAGGGTGATGTTGTCATGCTAGAGTTTGGGCTAGGAAAAGAAGTTTGTGCTTTCTGTCTGCTAGCCTCACTTTCCTGTACATTTCTGTTTTCTTGGGAGGGGCTGCTAACCTAAAATTCCTTGCTTTGAAGCACGTGGAAATACCAAAGTCTCTTAAAACAAACTCGGGGATCCAAACCGGTGTTAATTCAGCGCATTCAACGGGAGGAGCCAGCAGCTGGGATAAGAACCCAACTCTGCTCCCAAAACCGCGGGGCTGCTGGGTCAGCACTGAGGCAACGGCCCCTCTTTCTGTCACTTGTGCGAGTGCTCCTGAGCATACTCACGCAGCGCCGGCTTTCCTGACAGCGCTCTTGGGGCAGTTTTGAATCCAAGCCAGGCTCTTGTAGTGCTACTGCTTCAGTAGGGCAGAGATAAGAAATACGGTGATGGGGTTGGTAAGGAGAGTAACCTGAGGGGCAGAAGGAGCCCTCTAAGTGGGAAGGCAGAGACTGCAATAATAGCAGCTCCCATTTAAGGCCTAGGCTCTTGATTGCTAGTCCCGGCTCTGGTCAAATAAGTCTATCGCAAATTTCCGAAGCAGATGTTGTTAAGGGGAAAAGGAGAACTTAGCTAGATACTTACCAGGTCCTGGTTTTCAGCACCTTTGAAAACCAGGGTCAGGTAGTTCCAAGCTGGGAAGTGAAACTCAGTAGCCATTTTTTAGACAGTCCATTCATTGACCATTCTCCGGAGCTCTGTGCCTGAACTGGGAATGATGGTGCCACATATGTATTGCTGCAATCAGCAGCAAAAGCCCCAAGCAGGAGACTTTTACTGTATGTTCCAGAGGGGACACAAATAGCAAGCAGAGGAATTTCTCAGCTCCCAGCAATGGGGAGCTGTGAGTTGAGCTGGAGGGACAGAGGTGATAGAGTTTCAGAACAGCTGCTGCCCTGGTGACTCTTGGGCCCTAAAATTAAAGCCTGGCTCAGTTTTCACTCCCAGAGCAGCACTTTGGGCTGCCAGCACGTGTCTTTTGATAACATTCTTCTCTCCCTCTTCAGAAGAAGCAGAAAGTAACCTGGGCTGCCCTAGCTCAGGAGAAAATCTGTTGCTTTAGAAAAGACCCCAAAACCACATGCAAGAAATGTTTCTTTTTTACCAGCTCATTATTTCTCACTGCTGTGAGCACAGGAAAGAGAAGCTATCACACTAGCTCCTGACAGAGCCTCCTCTCAGGTGGCTTTGTAAAGACTCTGGAGACAGAGATGTAGGGCCAGAACTCTCAGCAACTGTCTCTTACACATCGGCAGAGCACCTAGCACAACGGTGCCTGCTTTACCGTTGCCCTCTGCCTCATACTGCCAAAACTCTGCAGTATAGTATTGTATTAGAACAGGACTCTGTTGCTTCCTCTGCAAACATGTGAGTGAGGCTAGCCACCCTTTTGGGACTTCCCCCCACAAAATTTTGTTCTGGTGTAACAGCTCCTTTGTAGTCTTGAGCCTTGGGTCTTTGTTTGCCATGATGTGACTGTAGTGCCAGCCTCTCCACAGTGTGGGAGTGTTGTGCTACATTTGACATAGATGAGAGCCTGCTGTCTGCCACCTGCGAACAACTCTCTGAGAAGAAAAATAGCGTCGCTTGTGGGTAGCAGAGACTGACTGCCCGAAGACTCGGTTTCTGGCAGTGACTAGCTGTGGCAGCTTAACTTGTTCACCTCAGTTCACGTTCCATGAGAAATAGCAATTGTCATTATTTTATTTGGCTTAGAAAAGTAGTTTAAGACCCTTCAGTGTGAAGCTGGATTTGGCCAAGGTGAATGGGTTTGCCTAGTAATTACATTCCAGTTCCACGTTTGTCACCCTTACAGTGATTTATTTGCATCCTATTTCCCTGCAGAGTCCCAAGCTTCTCTTGGCTAGATCCATTGCCCTGATCTCTCTGTGTAGTTCCTCTCTAATTGTGTGCAGCATCAGTTTGGGGAATTACATCCATTTCATTTTGCTTCCTTTCCTCTTCCCCAGTGGGGAGAATCTGGTCTAAGGGCTGTCAGCAGAGGAAGAAAGAGGAGGATAGTGGGGCACAACATGGACATCCAGACAAGCAGTCGAGCTCCTGCCAGCCGTGCAGACTCCAATGAGAGAGGGCTAAGGAGAGAGCCCTCAAGAACAGCAGTGATTGTGATTGTGTTTTGCCTGGCACACAGAGATGGTTTTCACGTGCATGACTAAAGCCCACAGCTCACAAGGAACATGACTACATAAGCTGGTGCAGGCCAAGTGTGCTCTGTGTCCTTTCCTCAAGCCACAGTGTATTACAGAACAAAACCCCAACCTGTTATCCAGGGAAAAATAACTCGGTGAAATGGTTCCTCTGCCAGAGTGGATTCAGGGGTTAGAGTGCTGTTGCAAACCTGCTAGAGAAACTCCCCAGCAAAAACTGAGAATTTGCTGCCATCTGTAGACATTTGGGTGCTGTTCCAACTATTTCCCAAGCCTTGCTCACACAGCTTCAGCCAGGCTCAGTAGCTCCTTATATAGGCAAGACAGCCATGGCAAACCTCCCCAGTCTGAAGGCAACCTATTCCTTTCTTCAGCATTTCCCCATCTAAGGTATCCTCTAAAGTCTCCAGCTTATTTATTCTCCAGTTTTGGAAGCTGGTTCTGTGAGGATGGTTTCAGTGTCCAGCCCCACTGGTTGTGTGCAGAGAGCTTGGGTTTTCCTCAGAGGCAGACCAGCTCTTGCTTTCTGAATGGCATATGACAAAAAGAAAAGGAAGTCTATTCCGTGAGCAGTGTATTTCTGTAAGCACTCAGCAGTCGACAGAGTTGCCCAGCGAAGCCGTATTCCAGGACTCCGCATCTCTGCTAGGCACAGAAAGCCTCTCCCTGTGGGGCTGGCTGGGTAATAAGACAGCCAGCCACCTTTACTCACTCTCTGTACAGTCTCCTCCACCGTCTTTGGGAGAGGACCCCCCCCCCCCCTCCCTGCAGCATTTCTGTGTCTCTATGGACATGCTGAGGTGACACCGTACACTGAACTGCCTGTGCTGCTGCTCCCCACCTTGAGCGTTTTCCTTTTCCCGCTCTCCTCCCTCAGTTTCACCTTGCGAACAGACTTTGAAAAGGTGATCTACCATCTCCTCTCCATAGGGTGTCCCTTTCTCTCTTCCTCTGGTCAGTAAAATAGCCCCGAAGTGGTGGGGGAGCCAAAAATGCCTTCTTGGATGACATCAAACCCTACACTCTCCATGCTGGATTTCAGGGGGCTGCTGCCATGCCACAGGGTGTCCCAGACCATGGCCTCAGAGCACAGTTTTTTGATTAAGCATCTCCTTGGTGGAGCAAAATGAAGTGATTTACTCACCAGCAATGTCTTCTAAAAATCCCAGCTATTTAAATGAGCTCTCCCCAGTACTGTCACAGTTCCCTGGCGCTCTTCAGACTGCCACCCAACCCCAAACCCAAACCCTCAGTGGATTAGATACAAGGTCCTATGTCTCTTGCAGACCCAGACCCTCATGGCAGTGGGATCTTCCTTCTCTCTGACCAGCTATCCAGTGCTGGGCACTGCTGCAGAGTTGGCAGGACAGGGGAGGGATGCAGCAATTCATGGCGCTCTGCTTTTGCACTCCCAGTTCCAGGGCCAGGCCAATCTGCATATATTTGAGGACTGGTGCGGCAGCTCCACTGAGCAGCTCAGGAAAAACCTCCACTTCCCCCTCTACCCCCACGTGAGTAAGACCCAGACACCCTTTCCCCACAGTTCCCCTTCCTTCCTGCACCATTTCCTGGCTGGATCACCCCTGCTCCCTTTGCATCCTGTCCCCATCCCTCTCCATCACCACACCTCCTCCTTCCTCTTGGTCCTGGGGAAACAGTGCCCTCAGGAACCTTTTACAAGGGTTCAGAAGAGCCATCTCTTCTGTGGGGAGAAGGCTCGTTTTACTCCTGCTGGCCTGCCAGGCCTCAGACACGGGGTGAAGGAGTCCCTTAATTAGGTGCTCTCCCTCTGAGTGGTTAGCAAACACCATGTCCCATTTCCAGCATCCCTCTGGGATTCTCCATGCAGCTTTCCCCTCCCTTGTCAGTACAGCACTTGCTCTAGTTCTTCTCTCATCTCCCCTGCTCTTTCCCATTGCCCTATCACAGAATCACAGAATCGTTTAGGTTGGAAGGGACCTCTGGAGATCATCTACTCCAACCTCCCTGCTCAAGCAGGGTCCTCTAGAGCATATTGCCCAGGATCACATCCAGACAGGTTTTGATTATCTCCAGGGAAGGAGACTCCACTACCTCTCTGGGCAACCTGTCCCACCATCCCTCCACCCTGCTCCTAGAGCAAGCTTCATACTTCGCTCTGCCCACACGTTCCAGTTTTTTGGTCCTTCCCTCCCTGCCCCTTTCTCTCCCCTCTGGTTCCTATCACGTCTAATTATTTTTTTCTTCTGCTTCAGGCGCGAACTACACTGAAGAAACTGGCCGTGTCCCCAAAATGGACCAACTACGGCCTCCGAATATTTGGCTACCTACATCCTTTCACTGATGGTGAGGGCTCTGAGGCTGCTGTGCTGTCTCTCACATGTCTTCCCATCTGCTTTTCCCTCCCTTCTTGATACTGAAGAATGATGCTCTCACCCAGGCAAGCCAAGCATGAGGTCTCTCACGTAGGCAGCCCTGCTAGCTATGGATAACTGGCTGTTGTGTTGGCATGGATGAACCACATCTGCCTCCATTGTAGGCTGAAAAGGAAAAGCACAGAATAAAATAGATTTGAAGCATTAGATAAAAAACAATGCTGTCCTGAATGCCCAGCCCCATGACACGTACATGGACAAGAGTAGACCCTAAGCATTTTCTCTCTTTCTTATATGCACGAGACTGCACATGACATCATTTATTTTCCTTCAGCTCCCCAGGTGCATGAATACCATCTGACAGCATATTACATCTGTATCACCCATCTACACGCTTCTGCCCAGAACAGCCCACTAACACTCACCCATGTGCTCCTGGTCCCCTGGCCCTTGACTGCCATCCCTGTAACACCGGCCAGAACAGCAAGACCCAAACACCTCTGTCTCCCTTCATGGCTCCACATATATATTCCTTGATACACAGCTTTTCACACAAAATATTTGCTCAGGAAGAAAAAAGAGGAGCCAGGGAGACTCTGCATGGACTTTTTAGCTCTCCAGGTTAAATTTCAGGTGAAGCCAATGCAGAAGGGACAGTTAACCAGTTGCACCTGTAATGTTTGGTTTTAAATCACAGTAGTTAGGGAGATCAGAGGAGGGGGGCTAATATCCAAGAGACAAGTATGGCTGCACCAGGAGAAAGTAGCGTATTAGAGAGTCTGAATCCATTCTGTGCATAGACATCTACCCCACAGTCCTACTTACTCCCTCAATCTCTTAACAGGGGAGTTTCAATTTGCCATTGCTGCGGATGACAATGCTGAGTTCTGGCTGAGTCCAGATGAAAAGATCTCTGGTCTCCAGCTGCTGGCCAGTGTAGGCAAGGTACAGTGCATGCTGCATGGCTTCTTTCACCAAGGCTTTAATGTTTCTCTGGGGACGGAAACCCTCTTATCTTACGTACTTCTTCAGCTGGCTGGAATTACCAAGTCTCCTTACCAGCCCACCTATAGGCAACACCACCACAGATGCAGGACTGATACAACGTGACGTACGACATGACCTTAAGCCAGTCACGTACTGGCATTGCTGTTGGGAATCCCAGGTTCGTGATTAAGGGACGTAAATCTATCCTCAGCTTATGGATCTCACAGACAGTCTACCAAGAGGAATGGCTCGGGTTTCCCTCCTCTTTGCCCCTGCCCTAGTTGCACAGTAACCAGGGAAGAAATGAATCTTAACTAAAGCATTTGCTGTCTCTCCGCAGACAGGGAAGGAGTGGACAGCACCAGGGGAATTTGGGAAGTTTCGCAGCCAGCAGTCAAAGATGGTGAGGTGAGTGAGCAGGCCCTCTCACTCCCAGCCACCTCTGTGCAGCACTAAGAAGTCAGAAGGCGAATGAAAGAGAACCCAGACTTGTTTTGAAGACTTGGAAGTTAGAAATATGAAAAAAAGAGATTACTTTGGGGTATTGCCAAAGTGAAAGAGACACCTGTGCCAGCTGCCTTCCTGAATTTGCAGCCGAATGCAGCATTAAATGTTTCTTCCCTTGAGGAAGCAGCCATTAGCAAATCCAAACTCCTCTCTAGGAACTGTATCCAGAGCTTTCTGTCTCAGAACTGGACAGGTTTCTCAGAGGCCAAAAACCCAGCAGGCAAGACTAAAATGGAATTACTCAGAATTAGCTGAGAAGGGTCTGAAGCATTCCAGGTGCTCAGGAGAAGCTATCCATCCAGTCATCAGCATCTGGATTTTCTTGGCAGTCCTAACTCTACCCACCCTGGGAATTAGGTTGTGTTTAATGGGTGTGGTTGCTCTACACCCATTGTCTGCTGACAAGCTAAGAAACGTTTCTTAATGCTCTTTGTGACAGACACGTTTTTTCTTCGTAGGTTGTCAGCTTCAGGCAGGTACTATTTCGAGGTGCTACACAAGCAGGATGACAAAGGAACGGACCACGTGGAAGTAGCAGTAAGTCTATGCCAATAGCCATGCTGTCTGTACGTACTCTCAGAGCTTGGGAATGAAGTTTGTAATGATTTCTCACACTTCCCAGGTGCCAGCTCCTCTTTGCACGAGATGTATCTAGTCCTTTCCTGAGCCCTTACCTACTTCTACATGGGATAATCCTGGCTATGTCTGGACCATTTTCTGTGTTTGCAGTTCTGCTCTCTCTTTGGCCTCTCTTACTGTGCTCTGTCCTTTCCTGCTTTGGACACGTCCTGGGGGATCTCAGCTCTTTCCCAATCTCTTGCTGCTATGTAGGCTCCATCACAGTTAGGAGAAAGAGGAAGCTGTGGGCCCATCTGTTTAAAAAACAACTTGTGCTGCTCCTTTTGCTCAGGCTCAATTAAATAAAAAGTAAATCACACTTCATTGTAATTTATTTCTCTGTTTCAGTGGAGACTGAATGACCCAGAAGCGAAGTTCAAAGTCATTGACTCCCAATACCTCTCCCTTTTTGCTAGTAAGTATCTTCACCATAGGTTTCCCTGAGCACCTTCCCATTTTCACAAGTGTTTCCTGTTAACTTGTGAAAATGCCTGAACTTCCTGCCTGTCCAGCCAGGCAAATACCATGTGTACAGACTGTTAAATAAAATAGCTGGAGACAGGTCAGGAGAGAGACCTCTGGACAGGAGTGAGACTCATTATTAAACATGGGAGAATTTGAAGTAGGATAGGAACATTGTTTTAGAGAAATTTAGTGAGGCTATTTAGAGTCAGAGATGGACTATGAAGAGAGTATGCAAGGATGAGAGAAGTTGTTCCAGGTGCGAGTGTAACACAGGATGGAGGTCGTCTGCCTGTTGTGCAGCGCATGGAGCCCATAACGTGTGAACCGCAGGAGTGTGCTGGCAGCTGGACACAACAAGGGAGAAGGGGCTGCTGGAGCACTCCTGGGATCCACAGGAGATTTTGTACCAGATGCTGGACAGAATGGGATACATCCAGTGATACCAGAGGATGCTTGCTGCCTCAAGTCCCTTCAAGTTGCTGCTGAGTCAGCCTTCCTGGATTTTGCAAGCACAACAGCCCAGTCCCTCCTGTTTTGTAAACCCTTCTTATCACATCAAACGACACATTCATCAGGCTCCATAATCCTACCTTCCCTTACTTAGTATTGGCAGTCTCACTTTCTTCTGCCAACAGTCCTCCTTTCCATATCTCCTGCAGTCACCTTCCAACTTACCTGGGCTCTTTTCTATACCAACACTTTTCCTCATGGAAGATTCTCTGATGTAATCCAGATAGCTGTCAGTTTAGCCTCTTCTCTTGGAGATCAACCTGCTGCTGTATATTCTGAATCCTGCCACTTGACCAGGACTAGGCCTTGAGTTAGGTCTTCTGACTCCTTTGTTTTTCCTTCTGCTCTTTTCTTAAGTTCCTGTAGAAAGGTGACTCACAGCCCAGAAGATCCCTGCAGGATCCAGGCTCCGGGCTCATCTTTATGAGCACCTTCTACCAGCTGCTATTCTGCCCATACAGTATTTCCATCTTGCATATCAGGCTTTGCCTGTATTACATGTGATCCCATTCCTTCTGGGATTCTCATGTTCTTCAGTATCCGGAAGTTGCTAACAGTAACCCCAGTGTCCTTGGCAGCATGTTGTCTTTTGCTCCTTGGATGTTTATTCCGTACCCTTCATCTCAGAGCAGGATCCATGGAGACATGAAATCCTTTGGCAGCAGCACTTAAGAAAAATGTAGAACCAATACCCAGTCTCTAGTTTAAGCTTCCTTTTGCTCCTGGTTTACTGTTGTTCTCCAGTCCCCTGTTGGAGCACTGGTTTCCTGGACAAACTTAATGTTAATAATTCAGATGTGTCCAGTAATTGCTGCCAGCACAGGGTTTCTTCAGCACACCACTACTGGTGTGCCCCCTCACAAAGCAGCAGGTCATTTCCCTCTGTCACTCATCACTGTGTTTGTTTCCAGTGACAGCCATGCTCCCGCCTTGCAGCTTCTGTACTTTCAGTTTTCTGAAGCAAAGACTCTTCTTCCCACAGTGTCTTTGCAATGAAGCCTCCTGATCAGCACTGTTTAAACGCGGCTATGCCAGAGACAGTGTTAGGTCCAGGGATGCAATACCATTTAGAAAGGGCTGACATTAGGGAAGGGCGCTGTTAAGGGCAAGGGATGAATTAGCCCTTCCTCCTCCTTCCGTTCTCTCTCTGGTTTCTAGACGAGACGCTTTTAAAGATGGATGAAGTGGGGCACATCCCGCAGACGTTGGCCAGTCACACAAGCCGACCTGCTGACAATGCAGCCAGCAAAGCACACCCAGCGGACATGTTGAAGCCTGACCCCCGGGACACTCTTTATAAAGGTAAGACTGCAAAGAAAAAAAAGAGATAGCTGCAGCCTGTCACAGCACGTGCAGTAGAACAGCTGAGAAAAATTGTCCTCCTAAGCCGTGGTTATCAAAGTCCAAGCTTTTCTTCTTCCCTGTGCAGAAGAGAGGAGCGTCGTACCATGTCAGTCAGTGTAGGAGAAGAAGCACAGGCTAAACCTATCTCCTCTTCCTTGGGAGTCCAACTCACATGGCGTCCCCAGGCGTAATGTTGTAGTGTAAGTGCCAAAGAGCAGTGTAGACAGATGAACTGTACAAGATGCTTCGCTTTCTGTATCTGGTAGTATTTCAAATGGATAAATAGAAACCAGGCACAGAGGCAGCTAAGCTGTTACATCAGTTGCAGCAATATTCCTCCAGTAACACTTGACCATGTTCTTATTTTCAGTGCCTCTGCTCAGTAAGTCACGCCTGCGCCGAACCTTGCCAGACTGCCCTTACAAGCCCAGCTACCTGGTAAACGGATTTCCTCTGCAGCGCTACCAGGGACTCCAGTTTGTAAGTCTGATTCCTCAGCAGGTATTTGCCCACGTGAACTCAGTGAGGAAGGAGAGAGGTCAAATTCATCATGGGCCTCTCCATCAAACTGAAGTTCTTGAGCAGATTTGACCATCTGCTGTTTAGGTCTTCAGCAGCCCCATATATGCCAGAGAGCAACAGCAAGGGAAAGGAGGCAGGTGCTACTCACTGCTCTCTGGTCTCAGTGGGATATAAGAGCCCCTTGGACCTCAAACCAAAGAGCTGAGCTTGCTTTCACACGGCGCCTCATAATGGCTGAGAATTTTATTCTCTGTGGGGTAAACTGTAGTCTGCATGGACTAAGGTCCCTGACAGGCTTAAAACTGGTCTGGAGGGAAAGCTCACGCTTGTGGGGCATGCAGCATAGCAGAGATTAATTTTCTTCATGGTGGACCAGACTCTATCTGATGTCTACCAGAGCCACTGGGTTGGGGGCAGATCACCAACATGGTTTGCCCTTTGCCAGTCCAGGTTGCCCCAGGGTGGCCTTGCACATGTAATTCCAGTCACCAGCACGTTTCTCAGCATCCAGGGCGAATGCAGTTTGTCAGCTCCTTCATGCCTCTGTCATGGGGTCCCTCAGCTCAGTCGATGAGGAGCTGGCCATCCTCCTTCGCTTCTTATTCTGAACGAGTCTGTGCCCATCACTCCCCATAGCACACACTCACTCCCTGCTCTTCCCTCACCGCCTTCACAAAACTGCTGCTGTAGAGTACTCGGGGCCCCGCTCCCCTCCCTGCTAGCCCCGCCCTGCTGCTGGCAGGGGTCTTCCCCAGACCCACTGCTCCCTAGTTTCCTCTGCCTTGCCTGAAGGTCTCCCCACAGGTTTCCAGGCTCCTCAGTTCCCCTGCATCTCTTCAGTAGGACTTACCCAGCCCTCTCCCGGGTCCTCCTCACTCTGTTAAAGGGCTTAGACAATTCTGTACAAATACAGAAATAGACAGACAGATGCTGAGAGAGGGATAAAAAGATACATTCGCACATGCATCCCAGCAGATTCCCTTCTCTTTTCCCTTTGCAAAGCCCCTTCTCACAGCTTGCTGCTGGGTACCTTTGAGAACCAAATAGCTAGTGAACAGCCCTGCTCTCTCTCAGAAGGGCTGGTCACCTTGTGACATGTCTGGGGGTATCTTGCATGTATGGGGGTTTTGTTTTATTTTCCTTCCTTCTTTCCAGGTTCATTTATCCTTTGTTTACCCGAATGATTACAGCCGCCTGAGCCACATGGAAAAAGACAACAAATGCTTCTATCAGGAAAACCCTTATTACTTGGAAAGGTAAAGCTATCTTTTCAGCCATGATTGATTAAATGGCAGCCATGGCAGGATGCTGTGAGTGGAAGAGCAGGGAGGGAACAGACAGCTTTGCAATTGGGATTCGGGTGGAATTTCATATTCACTTTTTTAGGACCCTTAATTTTTAAAGATCCCAAAAGTCCTGCAAGACGTTAAAGCATTTATAGTTTCTTTTGATAACCAGCGCTCGCTTTAAATGAAAATACATTTAGATCGCAAAGGAAAACGGCTGCTGCTGCCTTTCTTGCTCTGTTAACCTGAAAGCTGGGTCAGAGCAGCACTATATCTCTCCCCGACTACATCAGGGAATGTATTTGCCAGCAAACTTTGCCTGCCAGCAGCTTCAGGCTCCTTGATGGCTGTTGCTGTGAGAGCCAAACCATACTCAGAGCTGGTCTTCTCCTCTGGGGGAAGAAATTCACTGCCTTGCTCTTCCCTGGAGGGGCTGGCTCCCAGAGATCACTCTCCGAAGGAACTGCCACACGCGTGTTCCTTCCCCCTTCCACAGGCAAACACCTTGTGTTAGGACTCCCCTCCATTCAGGAGGACTTTTTTGCAGAGTAAGGAGAGTCACTCTCCCAGTGATTGACAGTGGCCTCCCTACGCTTAGGATCTTCTTCCTTCTCGCGTATCTATTTTGAGGGCTGGAAAGACAAAACGTATTGTAGGTTTGGGAAGGGGCTCCTGGGACTGGGATTCCTAGTGGAAGATGGAGAAGGCGGCTGCTGTGGGCTAGAAGGTGCCACCCCAAATGTATTGCTTTGGCAATTCATTTGTATTGCAGCAGCATTTGGGAGCTGGGGGCCAATTTTTCTCGGTATCTGCACACATGGAGGAAAATAGTCCCGGGAATCCCCCCAAAGCCTGAAGTACGGGCGTATGATGGGACAGCACACAGTGGTAGCATGAGAGAAGAGAGAGGGAGATCACTGCAGTTATCCACATAAGCCACTTTTACAGCCTGATGACTTGGGTTTGTGAGCATTACATTATAGGTGACTCCTAAGCAATTTAAGGGAGGCTAAAGGAGTGTTTCAGTGTACTTATATTGGTATTTCCTCCTGTGCATGTGGGGTGGCACTCAAGAAAATGTCTGAGAGACTGGGATGATAAGGAAGGAAAGCTGACATCTTTGACAAAGCAAAGTAAATCCTGTTGTCCCAAGATCTGAAAGAGGGTGATGATGGTAGACTATGACTTGTTGGGAAAGGAGGATCAGGAGATGCTGGATGGATGTAACTGGAGTAATGGAGCATCACCTCTGAAGCAGTGGTTAGAATTTATCTGGAGAAAGCAAAGTAACTTTTATCAAATTTGTGTTTTGTTATTCACTCTGCAGATTTGGATTCTACAAGTACATGAAAATTGACCGACCGGAGAAGAGCCTGGACTCTGGAGAGAAGACAGAGCAGCCAGGTGGAGACATTAATGTCAAAGTCTAGAGCATATTTTTGTCTGTCACTCTTTCTGTGTGATCTTCTGGCACCAGCTGAAAGAAGTTGTTGACTTTCCATGCTAAGCAAATCACATCCCTTCCTAGCTGTGTCTGGGAGGAGAAAGAAAGGCCACTTTGCCTGCCAGGTTTCCTAAAACTACGTGATGTTTTTGCTCATTTTTATGATGTGATTTGCATACCTGCTAAAAATGTTCTATACAGCCTCAAACTTCCGCTTTGTAATAAGAGGGGAGATTCTTGCTGATGAACAGTATTGCTGAGGCCTCCAGCTGGGACAGTTTACTTTAGCTTTTTTCAGCCTCTTTTGTACTCTCTCTTCCCAGACTTGGTCCCACTCTCCCTCCTGCCTGTGTCTCGCTTGATTTTTGCTGTCACTTTCTCTTTTCCTAAGGGCAGGATGGGAGGCCACCTAATAATGGGCTCTGGTGGCCATAGTGGCAATTACATATCAGGCCCACAGTGTAGTTAAGGTGCAATTCCAGCAAAAACATGCACGCTGTGGCAGCCTGTGTTTGCATGTTTGGCCAGACTAAAGGTTCAGCCAGACACCTCCACAGCTTTGGCAGTGCTGCCTCATAAGTGCTGAGAAGGTTAGCACCAGCAATAGCACAGTTTGCATGTCCAAGAGCATCCCTGTTTGAGTGAGAGAGAGGATCTGCTGCTCACACTGTGACAATGAGTGAGATGAGACAAGAAAGAGCTGTCTGCAGTAGGGTGGATGTCTGAGGGGAAGGGTCAGCAGCTGCGCGGAGCGGCCAGCTTGGTGGACCAGGACAGGGAGGGTAGCAGGGAGGCTATGAGAGGTGTAATTGTGATTACTCCTGCAGGCTTTCAGGAGGGGAACCTGGATGACCTGCAGTACGCAGACCAGGATGTGGAGAGTACCAGCTCCCCAGGGCACCCTGGTGCACGGAGGGCAGAGCTGGCAGGAAATGCTCCCAGCATGATGGCAGGCTACGATAATGTTTACGAGGACTATTCCCTCCGGGAGCATCGTCGGCTCCTCTCAGTTACAGGCAGCAACATAGGAGAGGCACTACAGAACAAAGGGGCGAAGAGATCTGGCATCAAAGCAGCCCCGTTGGCCTCCGCCAACCAAAGCCTCAGCCGGACTGGCCTAGAGAGGAACCCATTAATGAAAAGAAAACGTTTAAAAGCTGGAGTCAAGGACAACTCCAGGAGCCCTCCACAGCATGCCAGAGCTGTCCAGGGGGGAGCACCAGTCAAAAAGACAAAGGGGAGCCCTCCTTCTACGACCTGGTCTCAAAAGGAGCAACCTCTCGGAGGCTCCAAGGACTCAGCGAGCAGGATCGCCAAAGGGATGAGGCCTCAAGTAGATCTCAGTGCAGCCCACAGCAAGCTGCAGCCAACAGGCACTGTGCAAGCCAGGAGACAAGGCCCAATCTCTGGTAAAGCAAGCAAAAAAGGTGTGAGTGCTGCCAGCCTCAGCAAGCAGCCTATTCTGCAGGCGCAGTGGCTAAACCAAGTGGAGTCCTACATTGCTGAGCAAAAGGCAGCCAATGGTGGGGACGTGGGTGAGGGAGAGGCGCAGGTAGTGTCTCTTACAAAGAGCAAATCTGGGCCTGTGGAGACAGCAGCAGAAGAGGAGGAGGAAGAGGTGGATGGGGAACCAGAGGAAGATGAGGATGGGTTTGATTATGTACCAGTGTTTGACCAGGCAGTGAACTGGGAGCAGACCTTCAGCATGAGCAACTTGGACTTCCATATGCTGCGGACAGACTGGATTGACCTGAAATGCAACACATCTGGAAACTTGCTGCTAAAAGAGCGGGAGGCCATGGAAGTCACTCGTGTCTTCCTAAAGAAGCTCAACCAGAGGAGTAAAGGGTAAGGCACATTGTAAAGACTAAGGGGCGGTATCCTGGAGCTGGTATGCACCCTGCACGGGGAACACCTGTAGTGTGAGAAGCCAGTATGCATCACAGGATAAGCTAGATGTAGAAAATAAAACTTCAGGAAAGGAATGTGTGTAAAAAGCTGGGCTTTAAACACCACTTTGGGCTGAAAAATGTGAACTGCTGGACACCAGGTCATGGCTGGAGGCTGGATATCACCCTCCAACAGCTGCCAGCAGTAAACATGAAAGACTGGAGGTTTCAATCCAGCTGGCATCACTGGCCTTTTGCTGGCTTCCTCCTTGCACAATGCAGTTATTGGTAGGCCATGGGAATGTTTTACCAGATGAAGATTAAGAAACCCTGCTGGTACAGAACAGGACTGGAGTTCCTTATGCTTGTGTGGTTTGATGCCTGTCACATCCCAGTGCTAGTTTGTGAATCTAGCACTACTTAGGATGTAGGACCACAAGGGACCTATCGGATAATGTGGTTCAGTCCCCTCACCTCAGAAACGACCAAGAATTCCAAACCCTTGTCTGAACATATGCACCTTCATCTTAAAACTAGTTAGATTTCTCGACCTTACTACTCATTTGCGAAGATGTTTCAGATCCTTACTACTCTGGTGTTCCACCTGATCATGAAATGATCAGCTTACATTGTCCTAATATGGTTCTTTTTCTTCCCAAGACTTATCCTCCTGATTGCCTTTCTGGCAAGTAGACATCTCTCCTCCTAGTTTCCATAAGCCAAACAATTCAACCGTCCTTGCCTCTTCTCACGAGTCAGCCCCTATTTCTGTGATTTTCACATCTGTCCTTCTCCATACTGGTTTCAATTTGGGTTAATTTTTCTGTACACAAGTGACTAATGTTCCAGATGTCTTATGGAATGGTGTTATTAGTTCCCAATCCCTGCTGGAAATAGCTGTCATGATAAGATTGCATTTGTTTTTTCAGGGACATATCAGTCACAGTCACAGTTCAACTGATCAGTTTGCTCAAGCCTTTCCTAGCATTTTTGGTTGGTGAGCATCCTCTTCCAGCAGAAAGGCTTGTTATTACCTCAAAAGACATGACCTGGTGTTTCATCCCATTTTAGCTATTCTGGACCTGCAGTTCATCCCAGTCTTTCCTATATGATTGCTTAGTCCTACTCCTTATTTGTAAGCTGTCATCAGTCAATTTCACTAGCCCAGTCATACTTCTAGTACCAAGACTGTTGAAGGAGGTATTAAATACATTCACTATTACCAGCCCTACAATCATTCAGATGCATTTGTTATTTTCTGTGTCACCTTTGTTTCATTCCCTTCACCAACTATTTTCTCTTGGCTAGAATCCCAGATCTAATCCCGTGTGCTTGTGGATTTAGGGAGCAGGTCATAAGCCTTCCGATGGGAGTTCTGAAACAGTGCAGCAAAGCGGGAAGCTGGGGACAAAAAGAGTTTGTACTAGCCCAGGAGGAAAGAGCTGGCAGAGCCAAATCAGCCGAGCAGGGTGGAAGTGAGAGGGGTGCTGGTGTATGGGGAAGATGGCTACCCCAGCTGTATCTCCTGCAGGCGGTTCCAGCTGCAGCGTGTTGTGAATGTGGAGAAACGCCAGGACCGCATGCGAGGGAGCCGCTACCTGCTGGAACTGGAGTTGCTGGAACGGGGAGAGCGGCTTGTCCGCTTCTCAGAGTACATCTTTGCACGGGGCTGGCAGGGCATCAGCGGGGATGAGCAGGAGGAGAGGAACATGAGGAACCTAGTGTGGGGTCGCCAGCGGCACCTGATGGCCATGGCTAATGAGCCAGAGCTGTGCTGGCCCCAGGGCTTCACCTGGAACCACCGTGCGGTGGTTCACTTTGTCGTGCCAGGTAAGGGGGACCTGCCTTTCTGGGAAGCCTGGGACATGGAGAGAAAGCACGGCTGGGACTTCACTTGGAGGCAGCCTGTAACGTCCCATTGGGCCAGCCTGAACCATCTCACTAGGGTCACTATCAGTTTCTTTTCTCTCCAAGTTAAACCCCTTCAGAAATATGACTGGGTGAAAACTCCCATGGCTTGTAAACTCTTAAAATTAAAACTGCCATCACACACTAATTTCTCGGCACTTTAGTCCAGGTTTTCAGCATGGGCTTATTTCAGCATGGCCTTGCTGCAGGGTTAGCAAGGCTTTAGAGGGGGCAAGGAGCCTTGCCTGTTTAGAAGCCATGCCATCTTTGAAATCAGTTCTGCTTTGATTCTCTCCCTCTTGCAATACAACCAGTGAAAAACCAGGCACGTTGGGTGCTGCAGTTCATTTCTGACATGGAAGAGCTGTTCAGAGTCACTAAGGATCCATACTTCAATGTCATCATCACAGACTACAGCAGCGATGACATGGATGTAGAGAAGGCTCTGAAAAGGTCTAGCTTACACAGGTAAGAGTGCTGCCTAGTCACATAAAACTGTTCACATATATATGCCTGCAAACACCACAAACCTGCAAATCTGCATGTTGATCATGCACAGCCTCCTACAGCTGGAAACCCAAAATGACATCCATCCAGACCTCGCCCATGTGCATGCATATAATGCTGTTATAATGTACGTATAGGTACACTGCATATAATTTTATTACAAAGCTGGAAGGCAATACCTACTGCACTCATCCATCCAGACACATCTCCTCTCCTGGCTTTTGTTCAAGTTTGTTAAAGAGGAATAAAGCAAATCTCACAGTGATGGGGAAGGGGGAGGACAGAGAAGACAAGAAAGCATTAACAACGTGACAGAAAGCATGGAGACCTTTAGGGATGCCACTTGCTGGAATAGCTGTTTGGCTTGCTGTACGCTGACCTGAACCAGACTTGGCTGGTCCTTTCCTTTATGTGCTAGGGGTTCCTAGCAAAAACTCTAGCCTAAGGCCCTAGGATAGAGCTGAAAAGGTTTTTGCTAAGCGCTGCGCTGCCCTTGCTGTATAACTGAGAAGACCCTTAAGGCATCCTGGAGCCCCATTCTGCCACACCGGGACCTGAAGTAGCGCTGAGCTTGCATGCTCACGCAACAGGTGCTTTCTTTTCCTCCTTCTGAGTGCAGAAGTGAGCTAGCCTTTGAGCAGGAGGGAACCAGCGAGGGGCTGTTCATCTCATGGCGCCTGAGCTGTACCCCCACCAATAGCACTTTTTATGCTCGTCGCCAAGTGCCCACTGAACTTCACCTCTTTTCTCTCTAACCAACAGCTATCGGTACTTGAAGCTGACAGGGAATTTCGAGCGTTCTGCTGGGTTGCAGGCAGGGATAGACCTTGTGAAGGTAAGCTTGTGGGGCTGTGGGGTGGATAGGAAGATGTCTAGTATAATTCCTGCACTACCTCTTGTCTTTCATACTGAACACGCTGTTTTTTAGAAAAGGGAATAGCCCAGCAGAACAGATCAAACATAGATGTGTTTCCCATCCGCTCTGGCCCAGCAAGGGGCCTCACCCAGTACTCTGAGGAGACTAGTCTCTGCGGTCTGTCCAGTTCTTGGCCTACCTGCTTGGGCTATCAGAGAGGAGGGAAATCAGTCCGAGTGGCTTTGCTGCACTGGCTCTGCCAGATCATCGTCATTCATACCTGTTACTGAACAGCCACTGACTGATAATTCGCTTTTGCCCTGTGCAGGAGTGGAAGCATGGCAACTGTAGCATCATTAAGAGCATTCAGCTGCACTGCTTGAACAGCGATAACAATAACTGGAAACTGCATAATCCTGTGTCCAGCATTAGCATGGGGCATTCAGGGGAGAGGTGGAGGGGCAAGGCCCGCCCCCTCTCTACTGAGGCCTACGGCAGTGCAGGTGAGCTCTGTGCGACTGATTTTGGTGTGATCGTTTCCAGGACCCACACAGCATCATTTTCCTGTGCGATCTCCACATCCACTTTCCAGCTGGAGTCATTGATTCAATTCGGAAGCACTGCGTAGAAGGCAAGATGGCATTTGCACCCATGGTCATGAGATTGCACTGTGGCATGTCCCCACAGTGGCCTGATGGTAAGAGAGAATGCAGTCTCAAACCCTGGAGAATGAGGGAATGAAGGAGGGTGCCTGAAACCTCATTTATCGTCTCGATTTGTTCCTCCGTCGCTAGCCAGTTTGTACCTTAAGGTACTACTAAGGCCACTAGATGAGAGTGCGTTGGAGGGTGTAGGATGAGGTTTAACTGTGTCAGGTACTTGAAATTTGAGATCAAAGAGCCAGCAGAGCCATATATGTGACATTTCTCCTGGTTGTCTTTTAGGGCTCTCTGTGGATTTGAGTACCTCAGGAAGCTCCTCCTTTCCTCCTTTCTGCCAGTTTCTCTGCCCTCACCCCAGCTCCGTGGTCTCTGCTTTCCATGCCTTCTGCTATAGCAAAACTCTCCAGAGCAGTCTCTACTGCCCATAACTAACTAGTCTACTAGTCCATAACTAACCCAAAGACAGTCACTCCCAGGGTTGTATTGGACCTGACAGAAAACTTTGCTGCTGAGGACACTAATTGAGGGCTTCTCCCGCACTCTGTTTGTAGGGGGCACAGCCTGTCCTCCTGAGGAGAGCTGATAGCCTGGGGTGAAGGAAAGCAGACCCCAGTCAGGGAGAGGAAAGCAGCACAGATCATCTGAACATAGGATTTCCTTTAGACAGAGGTGGTCATCCCGAGCCGCTGTGGAAGCAAATTTCCTTTGTGTAAATGTTTTTCATCTAGGCAGAGGGACAAGCCCTTGAAGTTGGGACAGTCCAGGTAAATTGGATACTATGCTGCCAGACAGAAGATGTGAGAGGCTCTGCTAACAAGTTTAGAGGGCAGCCTGTACCATCTGTCCTTAAACCTTTCTCACTTCCCAAAGCTTTAATATGGTTGGCTCTACCTTGATGCTGAATTGCCTCTCTGGTGTCAGGATCGTTTTCATCACTTGGGGCGCTAGCAGTAGCTTGAGTGTCACTCTGGTAATTTTGTTCAGAAGTAAGGTCGCTGCTGCTAGCTGCTGCAGTAGCAGATGTGCTGCAGCCCTGCTTGAGTTGTTAATGATTCAGAGTGCCAACATGCCTGTGCCTCTTTTGTGCCCTCCTCAGGCTACTGGGAGGTGAATGGGTTTGGTCTCCTTGGCATATACAAGTCTGACTTGGACAAGATCGGAGGGATGAACACAAAAGAGTTTCGGGACCGCTGGGGAGGAGAGGACTGGGAACTCCTGGACAGGTAGGTGTTCATTTTTGGCTTATGGTGACCATGCATTCAGGAGGGGAGACCCATGAAATCTTGAAGTAGCGATGACCAGGGGAGCAGGGATCTGAGGAAATGACGGTGATTAATGCCACCGTAAAGTTGGTCGGTGAAGGAGAGTCTTGGAGCATATCCTGATTCTCCAAACGAGTAGATGAGCATACCCATAATAGAACCACTGATAAAAGAAGAGAGGAGCTATTTCCTGGTGTCGTGCAGCCACGCTGTTGGCTGGCCAGAGGCAGATCAGGCACAAGTGACTGTGGACATTTAATACTCCTTGAGCAGTTCATAGCACAGTATGTCTAGTTTGAGTCCCTCAGCCTTCCCGTACTACATATAGTAGTTGCCCAGAAGGGCAACTCTCAGAGAGACTTTTAAGAATCATAAGGTATGGTTACATTTTCTGAGAAGTTCATGAGTGTCCCTTTCCTTCATTCCTTCACACCAGATGACTCTTTTCCTGCTGTACAAATCCTAGGCCTCAACAGCTCTAGATTTTGAGCTCTATCCTGTATTTTCTGCTAGATCACTCAAAAAAGGACTTGCATCCTGAGCAATCCCATGTTGCCAGCTGTCCTTCCTCCTAGCAAGGCTGTCACTACTCCTGACCAGTCCTACTTAGCCATCCTGCGCGCTGAAGGGTGTATAAAAACTCAGCAGATGCCATTAGATGCCTGTTTATGGATATGAGACACTCCTGAGATATTCTGAACTCCTAAATTTGATTGTGGTCCCCTGACAGCAGGACTGTTTAGATCTCTCGGACCCAACCACCCTCTTATCTTTGTGATTGAAATTTCCCTAAATTGACCCTTCATCTCCTTTCTGCCAGGATTTTACAAGCTGGCCTGGAAGTGGAGCGTCTCTCCCTGAGGAACTTTTTCCATTGGTTTCACTCAAAGCGGGGCATGTGGAACCGACGCCAGCTGAAGACATCGTAGCCTTCAATTGCAAAGCTGCCTGTTAGAGTCATCCACCGTCTCACCCCAGCAAGCACTTTATCTAGGCACACAGCTGAGCGCGCATGCTCTTCCTCTCTCTCCAGAGCCCTCCTGTGAGACAGCACAGCGGAAGAAGGGACAGTCAGACTAGAGGAGCAGGAACTTCTCTTGGGAGCTATTGCATCCAAGATGTGAGTTCCTTGTCTTGCTGGGAAGTTGTGTGGGGGAGCTTTAGCCAAGTGAAGGACTCATATTTCCTGCCATGCAGGCTGGATGGTACAGTGGAAGAGGTTCTTGTTGTGTCTTGCATGGTGCAAAGCAAAAATGAAAAAATCTCAGCTAAGCCCAGAATGGATTATTTACAGTAATGCAGCTTTTCTTTTAATACTTGAAGAAAAAAAAAGGCAAAAAAAAGCTAAACAACACACAGGCTCGCTGGTATCCATGCTTTTGAACAGGGGACCAAAATAAGTTCTGTAAATTGGCACGTGTGTCCACACGCCCATGTGCTGACCCAGCAAAGTCTGGTTGAGGAAGAACTGATAGGCACTTTAGGCTGTCGATGCTTAGACATTTCTCTGTGCTTTTCACTTCAATCATTAGGAAAAAACGCGCTCGTATTCAGCAAGATATGGGCTATGGATGGAGACTGAAGTATGTTTCCCTTATGAAAGCCATGTTGGCCTGCTGCTGGGTGACATGGCAGGGGTTGATGTTACAACTCCACCTGAATTATTTATCCTGAGGCTAACCTGAGGCTAGTGGAGGGGTCATACAGAGGCTCTAGGAGGGCACCTCAGGAGGAACTTAGCAGCCTTATCTGACAGATGTGTGTGTTTGTCCTAACGATATCAGGGAAACCCTAGCAGGGAAGAAGTGGCAATATTTTATTAGTTTAAAATTGTGATTTTGTTAGAAAAAGAGGAGACAGAGTATTCTGCTCTCTAAATCCTGTACATTTATGCAGCATCTAAAGGTTAATTTAATAAGTTATGGCTTCACAGTTATGTCCTGTCATAGTTTGACTTTTACATAAAGAGCAGGCTTGTTTATGTTGAAGAACAGGCACAGCTATTGGTGCTTCGTTTCTGGAACAGTCCTGGGAGCTCTGGCCTGGTGCTGAGAAGGTGGCCTCAGGACTTGGCGCTTGCACTGGGAGCAGAGGAGCAATGAGGATAGGAGAGGGCTGAGTGAATAAAAGGATGGGCAGACCGATGCCAGCATTGATGAAAAAACTGTGGAAAGAGCCCCTGCTCACAGTTGGCCTGCCTCTAGGTTGACTTCTCAGCCCCTGAAACTCCTGCCTGTGCAAGGCAAGATTTTTACTCCCAGCAACCATTTTACAGGACTGTAGAAGCACAGAGATCCACAGCACAGTCGGTGCTCTGCACTGGAGCTTCAGTTTCTCCTAACCATGCTGAAAAGGCTGCTACTGATCTCAAGCATCAGGAAGAGTATGACATAGGATGCTGCTCATGGCTCCCAGCTCTGTGAGGATTCATTGAAAACGAGTAATGAAGATCTATAGGATACAAGCAGTGCTGACTTGGTACTAGAATTGTTTGCTTTTACACTGATGGAGCGGATGCCAATGCAGAATAAGTTTTCATTGATTATTAATTCTGCGGTGCTTGACAAGTTCATCAAGTCCCACTATTGCAAGCAGAAAACTGAACATACACGTTCTGGCACATGGGGTATAAATCTCGTGAGATCATCGGTTGCCTCAGTGTGAGTTCTGTGGCTGGTGGAGTCAGATTTGAGAAAGGTATACTGTGCAGTGTGCAGATAGGGTGAAAAGTGCATGAGAGACTGCTGTATCTCTTAATTCATGAAGTCTTTGTCAGAATTTAGACATTGAATATCTAAGAAGAGGCAGCCTTTATCTTCTGCTCAAATCGTAGCAATCTTTTTAATGAGGGAAGGGAGTTTTCACACGTAGAGGCTAAGCAATGAAATGCTGCGGTTCTGGGGCGAGGGAAGAGGCTGACAAATGGCAACTTTTTTTTTTTTTTTTTTTTTGTTAATGTAATACTGGAGTTTAAGAGGCCGAGGCCTGTGATGCACTGTTGCAATAAGCTCTGTTTCTGCCTGGCACGTGCAGCGTCAGTTGCACGCCGAGTGCGTGTCGGAACCTGTGCTTCGCTCGCCGACACAACCCCACGACTAAGCAAGCAAGTCTTTCGCCAGACTCTGGGACTGCAAGTTTCACAGCTTGTCTGAACTGGCTCTATCAAGTAATTCCTGTGGGACGGGGAGAGGTTGGTGGAGAGGACAAGCAGCGGGGGTGCAGGGAGTTATTAACAGAACTCAGCAGTTCTGCCCCAGGAAGCCGAGAAGAGCATTATGCCTGTTCTGCAGATGGCTTCAGGGATAACCCTTACGCTATACACAGGGAAGAAGTGTTGTTCATACCATATGCTTTCACAGCTGGCTTAGATGTGATTTGTAGCTCCTGAAGTCAGCACCCTTCATTCATCTACACACAGTGGAGAGAATTAGGTGCTTCCAGAAGGTAATTCACAGGCCCTGCCTTGATTGGTATGAGTAACTCCTCTTCCTCACCAGAGAGGATGATCAGCAAAGAGGGGGCTAGCAAATAGGGTGCAGCCCTCACTCCATCACTGCCAGCACAATCTGAGGACTTCACCCCTGTGCTTCAGCTGCCCAGGACCCTGTGTTCCTTCCTTCATGCCTTTTCACCCAGACCAGTAGCGAACAGAACTGTTTACCTCATAAGGACTCCTTGGTGGATATGAAAGGAGTTATTGGGTCTCAGTCCAGTTTCCCAAGGGCCAGTATCCCCGGTGTAAAAACTGCCGTCACAATTGTTCTTCTGTTCCTAGCACAATGGTACCCCATTCTTAGTCGGTCTTTATACGTTGGTGTTGTAAAGTTGATTAATACTAATTGGCACTAGTTGGCAGCCTCCGTGGAGGAGCTTGGAGAGAGCCCGTGGGGACGGACCTTGTCTTCCTGCTTGCAAGGTGCCTGCTCGGACTGCCGTGGGCTGTAAGATGAGAGTGGGCTGCACATGCCACAACTTACAGGCCAGCGTGAAATCTTGCAGGAGCACTGCCGGGCTTTGCCTTGGGCTGTTGCCCCTGCTCCTAAACAGCCTCTATTTTTTTCCTCCTCCAAGCAAAGTTATGAAGAGCAGGAGAGCAGGGAGCGCTGCAGGAACGGCAAGACCCACAGCTGTGCGGTGACTGGGTACAGCAGGGCAGAGCTGTAGCCCAGCCGTCACAACCCCACCGGCAGCTTACCTCTGGTTGGCAATCATTTCCTGCACCGCCATATGGCTGATAGTCTTGCACAGCGTTTGCTACCACTGCAAAGAAGGCTTATCTCAGGAATCTGCACAACTGCCAAGGAGCTGGAGGGAAGCTGCCTTTACCAAAGCAGGGAAGCTGACTTCCCCATAAAATCAATCTTGTTTCTGTCACAGGGATTTCTTAGGGAGCTTTGCCTGAGTTTGCAGTGAAGTTTGCCCTGCAGTTCTGGCCTTCATATGCTTCCTGGCTGTGTCCTGACTCAATGGCAGGAGGTTGCACATGCTTTCCTGTGTACCAGACATGCAGGCAGGAAGGGAGCTGCTCCAGCATATGTCTGGTCGAGGACAGCTGGAGAATGATGGGGCATGCTGCAGAACAGATGTTCCCTGCAGCTAGGATGTTGCCAGGCCGGGGACCCTGGCCCCAGAATTGTGGGGTGCACTGAAAAGTGGCTCTGCCCACAAATGCTGACTCTGTCACCAGAACTTTTCCATTCCTAAATGAATTATGGCCTGCAGTTCATTTGCAGTTCAATAAAGGGAATGAAGAAGGACTGGGTTTTATTATAAGATAAATGTATTGTGTGAAAATAATAATGTGACATGTTTTGTCATTGTCTTTAATGTTCTCCTGGTATGAACATCCTGCCTTCTTCTCATTGTCTATAAATGTCTAAGTTGTTCGAGTTTTTTAGATACCGATGCCTTGTGTTTAAAATCTGGATTGTACCTTCTCTGCCTTAAAGTGGCTCTGTGCCTTCAAGGTGACTCCTGAGCCACTCTCTGTTAGAATCGGGGGATATACTAGTTCTCCCCCACATTTTATAAATACATTGTCTTCCTACAAGAGCTCAGTTCTCTCTGTGTGTTTCTCGCACACCTGCCATCCCCACACAGCACAGGCTAGAAATCAGATGTTCCCCCTCTTGTCTCATATAATTAAAGCCTCCTCTTGTCTCATACAATTAAAGGTGTAATCAATGCCGCAGAGACAGGTCACTCTATGCAAGCCAGCAAGAGCTCTGCAGCTGCTGGTGGCAGGCAAGAAAGGGAGACATGGCAAGCATGGTTAGCCAGGAGTGAGACCTGTTTTAGTCCCCTTTAGGCAAAGTGCTGTAGAGAGTGGGATGGTAACAAACAGGCTTTCTCCTAGATTCCTGGGATTTATTAAGTGGAACAGGATACAAATGCTGGATAAATATATGTCCGAGCAAAGCAGGAGTGTTGTATGATGCTGGAGAGGGAATACAGAGAAGAAAGTCATCTCTCTCCCAAGCAGGGGCCAATTCATGGAGTAGAGCCTGCAGGAGACAGCCTGGACCTGAGCTCAGTCCATGGTGCAGCCTACACAAATGGGATGACGGCTCTTTCGTGGCAACAGCTTATCCAAGTTAGAATTGTGGCCCCTTTTCCCTTCAGCCCTGCCTCCCTTGAGCATGAACAGCTTGGCACGAATGGGAGACAGACACAGAGAGGCAAAAAGGCAGCCAAGGTTGCTAATGAGTCTGATACCATTAAAATGAGAAACAATTATTAAAGGCGACAAGGGGAAAAGCACTCCAGTGCACTGCTGGTCTTTTGCTTTCCTGTGCTGGATAACAGGAAGCCTGCTCGGCTCAGAGCTTAAATACTGCAGTACCTCATCTGGCAGCTCTCTACAAGACTGATATTGAAGTTACGATTTGGTAATGCATCTCCCCTCAATGCTTCTTCCCCAGCCGATGCTAGTTTTTTACATTCAGTCCTCAGTACTAATCGCTTTGTCTCCTGCTCTGTGAAGCAAGAGTCATGGGATTTGGATTCTGCAAAAAAAGCTCTGGTTGGCAGAGCTCAGAGGGTTGTGGTCAGTGGCGCAGAGCCTAGTTGGAGGCCTGTAGCTAGTGGTGTCCCCCAGGGGTCAATAGTGGGTCCAGTCTTGTTCAACGTATTCATCGATGACGTGGATGAAGGCACAGAGTGCACCCTCAGCAAGTTTGCTGATGATACTAAGCTGGGGGGAGTGGCTGACACACCAGAAGGCTGTGCTGCCATTCAGAGGGACCTGGAGAGGCTGGAGAGCTGGGCAGAGAGGAACCTTCTGAAATTCAACAAAGGCAAGTGCAGGGTCCTGCGTCTAGTGAGGAAGAACAGCATGCACCAGTACAGACTGGGGGTTGACCTGCTGGAAAGCAGCTCTGCAGAGAAGGACCTGGGAGTGCTGGTGGACAACAAGTTAACCATGAGCCAGCAATGTGCCCTTGTGGCCAAGAAGGCCAATGGTATCGTGGGGTGCATGAGGCAGAGTGTTGCCAGCAGGTGGAGGGAGGTGATCCTGCCCCTCTCCTCAGCCCTGGGGAGGCCTCCCCTGGAGTACTGTGTCCAGTTCTGGGCTCCCCAGTACAAGAGAGACATGGCGCTCCTGGAGAGAGTCCAGCAGAGGGCTACAAAGATGATGAGGGGACTGGAGCATCTCTCCTCTGAAGAAAGGCTGCGAGAGCTGGGGCTGTTTAGCCTGCAGAAGAGAAGAGTGAGAGGCGATCTCATCAATGTGTACAAGTATCTGAAGGGAGGATGTCACGAGGATGGGGCCAGCCTCTTCTCCGTGGTGCCCAGCGATAGGACAAGAGGCAACGGGCACAAACTGAACCACAGGCAGTTCCATCTGAACCTGAGGAAAAACTTCTTTCCTGTGAGGGTGACAGAGCACTGGAGCAGGTTGCCCAGAGAGGTGGTGGAGTCTCCTTCGCTGGAGATATTCAAAACCCGTCTGGACATGATCCTGGGCAATATGCTCTAGATGTCCCTGCTTGAGCAGGGAGGTTGGAGTAGATGATCTCCAGAGGTCCCTTCCAACCTGAACGATTCTGTGATTCTGTGATTCTGTGAAACGGGATGCGTACTTGTTTATCTTTTCATAAACTCAGTTGGGCGAGTAGTGGCTGCGAGCCCTTGACTGATGATTTTCTAGTGGCTGCAATTAAGTTTTGTTGCCTCTACAGTGAAGCTTCATCCTGGAGGACAGCAGGATCCTGGAGGTGTCTCAGAAACGTTTCCACTGACGTGCTGTCAGTCTGGGGAGAGGCCATGTCTTTACTTGATTCACCAAACAGACCTAAACTGTGCTAAACTTTGCTAATTAAAATTCCAGTACATACAAAACCGCTGTTTTTCACCCTATTTTTTCTACACACCTTTCCTTCAGCTGCAAAAAAGCCGCTGTGGTTTGAGGATTGTGGTGGAGGACCCGATGCTAGCCTGTAGGTCTTACCCGTAAGCTACTGTTGAAAGATCATTCACAAAGTCATCCAGAGTCACCACCTGTGACTTAAACAGAAATTTAATTCTGAAAAGTCAAATTTAGAGGAAACAGAATCTGCTCATATCTGTTTTTTAGCAGTGTCAGCCACTCCCATTAGCTTTTGAAGAACAGTATGCACGTAACTTCATGACCTTTCTTTCTTAGTGGCAGTATGCAAAATATTATCTGTATTGAACACTGATTCTGCCTTACTTTGAAAAATTACTTAATAATCAGAAAAGCATGTCACTATTTAAATATGCTTATAACATGCTATTAAAAATAATCCAGTTTTTCAGAATGACTACAGAATTTCAATGTGGGACCCAAAATCTTTCCAAAAAACCTTTAAAGTTCATGAATGCTAATAGTCTTTTTTTAAAGAAAAAAAAAATGTTCTAATACAATAGAATTCCCAACATTGGCAATATAAAAATTACATATTTTAAAACATTTATGTTAATGGTAACACCTTAAATTATAATGCTGAACTTTTAAATAAAGTAATACATTATGCATCTGCTATTTCTCAGTGTGGCAATTAGCCTGGGGTGTCTCATTATGTATAAAGAGTTTCTCTCTTTTTTTTTTCCTCCTAAATATTATCAGGCTACTCAGACAGTATTCCTGATAGGACTCTGCTGATGACATCAGAACATAATATCTGTTTTCTGTCATTGTTCATTTTCCAGTGCTGGAAATATTTGATTGTTTTCTTAACTGTTTCCCATTTAATTTTATTTTTAAACAGCTAGGAAAACGTTTTGAACTCCTTTTAGCGGTGTTGATATACGCACACTTTTTTATCCTCCCATGAAAACTTCTTTTTAGTTTAAAAAAATCCACTCCTACATTTTGGATGTAATCTATTGGATAGCATTGCTTTAAATAAAGCAAATTATTCTTGAGACAAAAAAAGCTGGCCATTTTCTGTTTATTTAGCCTATAAAATAAATTGTTCAAGCTTCTCTACAAAATGAGGCAATATTGCATATGAGAAGCAAGCAACTAAAATAAGAGAAAAGATTTACAGAACTGTACTTTGAAATTGCGTACCTGCTGCTGTTTCTACAGCTCTCGCTAGAAATCACTCCAAGTTTGCTCTACCTTTGAAAAGCAATGTAGGTTTTCACCCATGCAGAAGTGCAAAAGCACTAAACAGCCTGTATGAAACAAAACACGTACAATTTTGAAAGTTTTAACCCAGTTCTCTGGATTCGTTGGGATGCCGGGATTCTGCTGAGGTCAGTAAAAATATAGAGGAGAGCTTTCCCCCGTCAGTCGCGCTGCCCATATCCTGCAGGAAAGACAAAAAATGCCCAGTAAGCATGCAGTAGATTCGCCCCCCCTGCAAGGGCAGGGAGGAACACGCAGAGCGTGCCAGGATCATCCAGCACCGCGGCCGTGGCAGCAAGCACAGGGAGCAGCCCTTCGACTCTATAATCCCTCTAGATCTGAAGCCAGTACTGCTTTCACAGAGGCTTTTGGCCTTTGCAGCGAATCCAAAGCACTTCCTTGCTCATCATTGCATGCTTCTATCAAGCTTTCTTGCTGGCTGTTGCCCCAGTATACTACATTTGAACCATGTTTACTTGTGGCAAGTCATGTAAGCAAGAAATAATGACCTTCTTGACCAAAGAGCCCTGTGGACCTAAGAATATGCCATTCCCTCGTCTGACCGGGTGTGTGAAGCCAAGCATTTGGCTGGGCTGTCATTCACAAGACTCTCGTTTGAAAATAAGTTAGATTCTTAAAACAGCCACCACCAAACCACACTGGCATTTGTGAAGAGCTCTTTCCCCCATTGCCTCTCCAGCACCTTCTTTTCCTTCTGCTCAGATAACACTGCCATCTTTGTCTGTCTCCTAGGGTGGAAATGTTCCATTTTTCTTTACAAAATTTAGCTCCCAGTCACGACTGCTGTCAGTAGCTAATGTGGGATTTGCTGTCTTCTGAAAACTAGTTGCTACTGATGAATCCCAGAAGTAGGGATGTTTGATGATCTTGCTTTAAAGACCAAGCAAGGAAATCCTCCTTCTTTGAGGGAATTTGTTCAATGGCCCTGGATGCCCATGAGACAGCAATATGCCTCCAGAAAGTCTTTGCCTGTTTGTGAAGCGTTGCCTTCCACTTCTCAATCTTGCAGTGATATTTTCTGAGACTGACAGCCCTTCGAGGGGCTGGCAGTGATGAGAACTCACCTCTTTCTTACCTGACTCCCTTGCCCCATGACTTAATAAGGACCCCTATAGTTCCTGGTAGGGTAGAGGCCAGTCTTCTGCACCCCAAAGGCTGTGATGAAGATATTGAGGATGACCGTGATGAAGATGAGAGCTGTGGCAGCATTGTTGAGGATATTCAGGCGTGGTTGCTTTGCAACATCATTCAGGTTCAAACGAGCTGCGTGACACAGTGCAAAAACAAAAGGAGATTTGTATGTACTTCAGCTCCAAATCGAAAGTACAGGGACTCCAAGTCAAAAGTCCCTAGACTTCACAGGGAGCCTTCACTGTCTGCAAACACACATGGAGCAAGGTGCCCCTTGGCACCACAGCTGCAGAGCTGAGGGAATGGTTTCAGTATCTTTACAGGCACCGTAGCTTGCCCCAGGACAAGGCAGGAGGACAGAGCAGAGGAAGACTTTTTTTTTTTTTGTCATGCGTGTCTTCTTTTGCAATGCGGGTGCCCCGGCCCCCTAACGGGCTGGCCCTAAATAACCGAGTTACCGCTGCATGTTTTCCGAGCACATGTCACGTTGCCACCCCTCCGCATGCTCAGTGGGATGTACCAAGGGAGGCTGGGAGGCGTGGAGGACAAGGCCAGTGGTGCTGGATCGGGGCTGGGAGGCCAGTTCCTCCTTCATGCCCAGATTTCAGATGAAGTGCTGACAGAGCTGACCCTCTCCCCTACCCAACCAGAAGTATCTCAGTACCTGAAAAGGATCAGCTATAGCTTACAGGCATTGAACGGTTCAAACATGGGAGCACCTGCGTTACTGGGGCTGTCCAGCTGATAGGCCGTGCAAATGGCACCCTGGTGGAATTCAAACATGGTCCTTTGCCCCCTTTCTCCTCACAGCTGGCTCCAGCCACTGCTGTTGCCATGGGGAAGGGCTGTGCAGCATGGGGCATGGGAGGAACCAAGTCACAGGATTTGCCTTAGCCTCAAATCATATGCTCCATATAGAAAAGCATGTAGGAAACACCAGAAAAAGTAGTGTTCTGTATGCTTTTAATACAGGACTTGCATTTGAGGCTGAATTATAAGAAATCCCATACTGACTGCAAAATTTATTGAGTCTGTTGGAAACACTACTGTCCATATGGCATTAGAAGTGTAGGATTCAGTAAATAGGATTCAGTAAATTAATATAGGGAAATTAATATAGGGAATACCTCTGCCTAAAGTGTTATGTCAGGCCCCAGCTTGGGTGAGGGCAAAAGACATGGCTAAAGTGTATAAGTGTATAGTACTTGTGGCAGCTGCATAGAGGGGCACATTGCAGGTACGTGCAGTAAGATGCCTGAAAGCCAGTTCCTCTCCCTATTATGGGTATCAGCAATGGGGAAAAGAGACAAGTGAAGGAAGAGTAGTGCTCAGTGCAAAACTCTGCAGCAAAAAAAAAAAAAAAAAAAAAAAGACAGACAGAAAGAAAAGCCATTCCCCATTGTGTAAAGCAGTAACACAGACCTCTCCACCACAACCATCACACTGTCTTAAATCCTTCGACAACCCTGGTTGCAACAAGGAGAACAGCACAGGACAAGAGGCAGTGCTTGTGCTTCTCTATCCCGCCCCCATGACAGCCAGGCTGCCCCTGCCCCAGCCTTGCAGCCAGCCCCTCTGCGCCCTGCGAGGACTCACAAGGGCTCAAAGGCAGCCTTACCACTGATGATGAGGAGAATCCCAATCACCACCTGGAAGAAGAGAGAGATGCTGATGAGCACGATCAGGGTGACGTAATACTGAAAGGAGGCCCCTTGCTCCAGCACTGCTTTGAGCTGAGTGACGTTGGCCATGAAGAGCGCCACATCCAGCATGCTCTCTGCCACGCTCTTCTTCGTTGCGTAGTGGTTGATGTTCATCGGACCATTATTCCTGAGATGAGGATTCATGCCCTGGGGGGACAAAAGAAACAGCATTACTAGTCCCATTCCTAAGCCGACAGGCCTGTCCATGCAGGGCTATGGCATTTATCTGGAAAGCCTGGGGAAGAGGCAAAGCCGTGCGCTTTAAAATTGTCAAAAGCACCCAGTGTTCCCCCACACTTGCCTCGTGGTATTAGTAGGCACAAGAGCTCAGCAAGGTTAGAAAAATACTGGGTATTTTTATGGATAACAAGCTGTCCAGAGTTATGATAGCATATATTAACCCGAGCCAGGGATTTTACAAGGAATATTGCATTCTCTTCCTTGAGGGCACAGACAAGCCTCAAACTTAGGGGGATTAGAGAGAGATCTTCCCTTTGGGCAGGGTGTTCAAAGGGTTGTTAGCGCTGGGATTTATATCTTCTCTGAACATTTTTTTGTTGCCTACTGTTTTAGACAAGGTACTAGAGCAGATGTTACAATCCTCATTTTCTTTTTTCGGAAACCAGGGACACTATTTCTTCAAAATGTCAAACATTGAAGAGCATGGATACAAATGGTGGGATTCATCACACCTAATTTTAGTTAATCATTCAGACACATTTTTTGTCAGTAGAGAGGACTAGGTATTTTCCAGGTGTAGGTCATCTGCCTGCTTTTAACCCAATTACAAAGTGTTGGTCATCTGGCTGCTTTCTTTTAACATTGCTGTTAGCTGAGTTCTTCTGTTAGCTGTCTTGCCCATATGACAAAAAAGAAGGTGATAGGAAAGGAGGAAATTGATTATAATTTACCCAGAGTGTCATCAGCTGGTAATAAACCACCAGCGAAGGGGACAATTGCAAAACAGTTGGCTATATCTGCAGTGAGCTATGATCTTCTTTCCTAAAATGGAAGAAACATATAGCTTCCATGTGGCAAATAGGTTTCAGTTCTGGAAAATTAGCCTACTGTCTGATTTTAAGAAGACTGGCAGCAAGGCTGTCAGTGCTGTCCTGATGTGTGACCCTTTAAATGTGGAGAAAAGGCCCAGCTGGGGGCCTGAGTTGGCTTCTTCTGTGGACTGCTGTAAGAGATTTCTTTAGGTGCCTGCTGAAAGTAGGACCAAGCCTGTATCAGATGGTGAGTCCTGCCTCTGTTGTTTTGTATGAGATAAAGTATAAAATGCAATCTATTCTCTGTGTTCCAGGCAGAGCAACAGAGTGAAATTATGGCCAGCCTCTGGCCTCTTGAGGTGTCCCTGGGGAGCATGGGCTTTTTCTGAGCAGAGGTGGGAAGACAAGCATGGGTAGCAAACCTGTGAGAGTGCTGTTTGTAAGTGTGATGCTAAAATAGGGGCCCTGTTTCAGAAGGGGGCTCAGGCCAGCTGTTGGCCCATGTGAGAAAATCATGTAGCAGAAAGAGGGCAGGAAGAACTGTGTTCAGCTTCAAATATTGATGAGCTGTGATTGCTAAGAAGGGGTCAGCTTGGGGTGGGAAAGAGCTTTTTGGGATTTTTTTGATAGTTAAAGCATGTAATTCTTGTGGTTTCTAACAGTAAAGTAACTGTGGCCAAGAGGCTCCTTTGCAAAGCTTGTATTTCTTTCTATTGAAGGTAGAAGCTAAAGGATCCTGGAAGGAGATAAAAGTAGAAGTCTAGAGAGCCTGTAAGGACTTTGAGGTAGTGCGTAGGGGTTCAGGACTTCTTAAACATTACTCTTGTGTCTAGGGCAGCAGAACAGAGATATCTCATGCCTCGGAGAAAGGAGGTCAGCAAAAGGTATGAGCTTGGGAACATGTCCTGATCTCCTAGAATTAGGCACTGCTGGCTCTCGGCTGGCTTAAAAGCCCATGTGCCTGTTGCAACAGAGTGGCACCCATACCACGGGGTGCAGGGCTTGATATTTGATCCCTTTAGTATGCCTTCTTTCTTATTCCTGAAGTCATCGTTCCTTGCTACAGTGGTACAACGCTGGACATTAACAGCTTATCTGTGGGTGATGATGAGTTAGGGCTGGGAGAACAATGAAGCTGAACAAACATGACAGCTTTGGTCAAATGAGTGACTGGCAGGAGGAGGCTGAGCCATCTGCTCCCAGTTGCTTACAGGGAGACAAATAAGGCAAGTTAGGAGCTCTTTTCAAGTGAAAATACTTCTTTCTTCAAGCTACCCCCCCCCTCCCCCCCAGGCTCGTTTACCTGTAGCAGGAAATGGGTCATCCAAACACTGGGCAGGATTAAAATGTACTAAGCTCTGAGCTCGGTTTCAGATGAACAAACAAAATTAGGTAGCCTTCATGCGTGCTTTTCCTCTGTATGGATGAGAGCAATGGCATGTTCCCTTGTCTGGGGAATGAGACCACTGACAGGAAAGGCTGCTGCTGCCTGAGGTGGAGTCATGGGGTCTGGGAAATCCTTGCACTGGGTGATGAAAAACTGGGCATTCCTTTTGTCAGCCCACACACAGTATGATTAAATCACAGTATGATTAAAGCTGGGTGCTGAACTTACATTTAGACAGCTAGACAATGAGCCGCTCTGCAGAACTGCTTACCATGCAGCAAGGACCATGCAGAAGTCTGGCTGACTGCAGCTAAAGTTGGAGAAATCCAGCTTCTCTGTGGATTTGGCCCTTACGGAGTATTCTGTCTAGTCCCACAGTTACAAATACAAACCTGGAGTCTCAAATAACAAGAGATTTAAGCCAGGTCTCTGAAAGCTGCTGATTTTCTTTTCATTTCTTTTTTTTTTTTTTTGATAAATGTAGGAGGCTAGCTTTACTTGGGATGCCTGGTACCACTGCTGTCAGCAGCTACCCACTCTATCTGTGGTATATGAATCAGATGCCTGTGACTCTTTTTCCTGCCACAATGTATGCACAGCTCTTCAAACTGAACCATTACTGCTTTTGCTTTATCTTAAAGTTGAGCCCTGTAAAGTGCAGCAGTTAAAAGCTGATTCACAAGCAACTCTGGCTTCCCTGCAGCTGGAGAGCCCAGGCAGCTACGGGGGGGTTACGTGGGATGGCTGGTGAGATTAAGTGATTCCCTTTTGGCAAACAGAGCCCTGTGTTAAGTCACAGGACATATTTTAAGGCTTATCGATGTGCTTTATATCATCGGGCTAAATCTAGTGTCTTTCTAGTCACTTTGGAAGCGTTCCCCTTCTGAGAGTGGGGATCACTGCCTTTCCTCCTCCATGGTGCGTCAAAGAGGAAAACTTGATAATGTGCAGAGTTAGTCTTGGTAAGTGTTGTCCCAGAGCTGGCAACAGCAGCTACCACTGTGTAGCAATTGCCCAAAGATGTGGAATTATTATTGTTGCCCGTCCTTTAAGGGTAGGGAGGTTAGGACATGGAGAAATAAAGCCTGGTCGCACAACTCTGGCTGAGCTGGTGCCAGAACTTGGCTCCCCTGTCCCGTTGCAGATGTTTTGCCTTTCCATATTAGACAGCCTTCTTTCCGTACCAAAGCTACTAGCTTCAGTCTGACCTCAGGCGAATCCTTTTTGTGCTTCGTTTTACATAAGTGTAGCGTAGCGATGCAGACCATTAAAGGGGCTCAGTGAGGCACTCTTAGGTCCTGTAAGTCATAGGCTTTATTTTTACTCAAAGCAAAAAAACCCTCTGCAGCAGTTCCCACTTCTATTGTTGTTTTAAATTTTCGTGGGAATTCTTATAGAAAGAAGGCAGAACATCACAAGTGTGTGGGTGGATTTTTTTTTTAAACACGATCTCTATTTCTGCTATACAGAGCTGTCAAATTACAGGACCTGTGAAACCTTGCTTTGGCACCAGAGGGCATGCTGAGCTCCCTAGCTGCTGAGTGCTGCGTTGCTAGCTAAAACTACCTGAAAATTTTCCACTGAAACTACTTTTCGAGGGAAATACTTTCCTCTTATTATGTCTTTTTTTTTTTTTTTAAGAAACACCTTTCTTCTGAAAACTTCTGGAGGCAGTTCATCAAAATATTTCTCTCCAAAGCTTGCAGGCTCTAAAGCTTTCTTAAATTGCTACTTGCGCAATTTCTACAAAACCTACAGTTTCCCTTGTATTTTTCGGGGGGGGGGGGGAATTGAGGGGAAGGATTAAGCAGATCTAATTGCAGATCTGTGTGCAGTGTGGTTTTTGTGACCCTCTCTTCAGGGGAGAACAGGCTGAAAGAGACACCAGGACAGCATGAGACTCAGAAGTATGAGAATGATAATCCTCTTCATGGGAGCGCTCTGGCAGAAAGGGATGTCTGAGGAGAAACTATATTATTTGGCAATTAGTTCCAAGGGAAATGATGAAGAGTGCCAAAGAAAACAGACATGAATGCAGGCCATGCACAGAGAGGGGTAGGTGCAGAGACGCACACCACAGGGAGCCCAGCCGATAAACAGCCGCATGTAGGCGAGCACGCAGACATGTACACAGCACACTAGGCACCAGAGGAAATCTGGGGTGTATTTTTTCCATGGTATTTACCAGATGGCAACTTTAGGAGTAATTTGTGAACATCAGCTGGTGAAGGTTAAAGCGCATGGAAACTCACCTTGCAAGGTAGGAGGAGAGCACAGGTCCCTTTCTATAGGCAGGGAGCTGAGATCAAAGGCCCTGCTCTCAATCAATGCTGCTACTTTAAGTGCCCGCTTATTAGCGGTTCTCTTCTTTCCAGAGGAGCTCAGTCCCTGCAGCTCCTGACCACTTCATCTGGAAAGAATGGAGCCAGTTTTGATATTTTTGGCCTAAATGCCGTATCTGGGCAAGGTATCAGTGGCAGCATTGGCAACAGAGGTTATCAGATTTTTCTCCCCCTGCCCCCCCTCCCCCAATAGGTTGTACTTCCTCCACGGAGTTGTACATGTCCATGCACAGGTGAGGAACCAGGTGAGTGCCCAGCTAACCAGGGGAAACGCCTGCAAGAGGAGGGACGCAAGGAGAACACTTTGGTCAATAACAGGTATAGTATGAATTATTTGAGGCAAAGACCTTCCCCCCCCCCCCCCCCCACCTATAC